ATTCAAATGTCGCATTTCACACGTGCCAAACTTAATGCATGAATTTTAGCAAATTATTATTATATTACTAGGAATATTGAAAGCGAACAGAGTTAAATTCGACAGAGTTCAGCGAGTTAAATAATTTTGATGTATGAATCAAATGCCTTTTTTAACTATTTTAATAGACTAGAAGAGGAATTATTAAGTTTGGCACATGTGAAATTCAACATTTGAACTGGCCTTAGTTACTACATGTTCTTCTCTTAGTTAGTACATGCAGGGCTTGACAAAAACTTGAATTCTTACATGTCCATTGGGCAAGCAGCTCTACCATTGCTTGTCTGGGGTAACTACTTGCTTGTTCTAGTTTGTGTAAGATTTAGTTGCAGGATGCTTGCCTGGTTCCTTGCCCAGTGGCAAGTATACTTCAAAAGTTAGTTACTTGCCCAGCAAGAAAATCTACTCATCCTGGACTACCAGACTGGACTGTTTTTATCCCTGACATGTTCTAAATCTTACACTGATCCTGTTCTTTTCTTTTTTCAAACTGACAAAACCCCCAATTCATCCTAACTTTTAGAAATGATCCCCTACAAGTCTTAGGTATTGTGAAAGTGACCCCCCACCTGATTGCTGTGGAAACTATGAATATTCTAGCCACAAGTCGTGCCAAATTTTACCACATACTTTATCTATAGTCGTGATTGTAATATGGATGTTTAATGTTCATGGATGTTCAATTCATCATTTCAATTCGCTTTCAATACTGCTTTGTACTACTCTGATGAACTGACCCCCCGGAAATGCTCCCTTAACTGAAATTTCCCCCCTCCCCTCCAAAAAAAAATATTATCTTGATTTTGTCAATGAACCCCCAACAAAATGCTCCTTTCCGTCACAGTATAATAATTCTATGGTATAAGTAGATGTGCTTAGTGTGAGAAAACAGCCTACATTTCGCAACCCCATGACTGGTTTCACAGCAAAATGATGTCTGCGGAATGAGAGCAGAAATTCCATACTGATGGCGCGTCACTACCCAGATTTGGGTATTGCATCAGATTGGTTGAAGCAAATTTCCCATACAGTACAACCAATCAGAAGCACTACTCAGATCTGGTTAGTAACACTGACAACACATCATCAGTATGGAATTTTTGACATTTTGTGGGGAAACCAAGGTTTTATAAGTGGCAGTTTACAGTAACCTTACATCACATCATGAAAACTTTTGTTCTATTGTTTCTATAGGTGGTAGTGGTATAAAGAAATCTGGAAAGAAATAACATTTGGGTTAACAACTGACCGACATACCATGAACATTGTACAGAGCCTGCTGAACTTATAAAAGGCACAACAATCACATTCCATGGGAACTTTTATTGAATAAAGTTAGGTGAATTTTCTTTTGTAAAATGTTTCACCAAAGGGTTTCTTTGTTTACTGGTTATCTCAATCTTACACTTTTTTTTCAATTTCTTTCTTCCTTGGACAAAGAAGTGATTTTGTTGAAGTATAGCAGGCTCCTGTATGAGCAAGTTGAAACCTTGGTATATCCTATAATCTTCCTGTGAAATAACTTAATTTGTCTTTGGCCATATAAAGAGTCCTTTATGGGTAAACTCGTTTGTTCAAGACAGCTGGATTTCAGCCTCACTACAGTTGAACGTCCATATCCGTCCACCTCCCATAAGCAACCACCTCCGATACATGTAAGTGACCGCCTATCCAAAACACCAAAACTTTTCCACCTCCTGTGAGCGACCATGACCACTTTTTGGGCCTGAAAGTTTAATGATTTTCCATTGTTTTTAAGCTCTTGTAAGCGACCACTTGACACATTCTCTGATCTCTATGTTCGCTGTGTGCACTATGCTACTTAGAATATACAACATGTAATTGGAAATACACATGGTGCAACTTAGAAATTGCATTAAGTAGAAGTGCCCAGACCTCTTCTTGGAAGAGGCCCCCTGTGATTCTATTCTTGAAAGCGACCACCTCCCATAAGCGACGGGGTTACGGGAGGCTATACTGTAGTTCTCTTTTTGCTTTTATGGGGTCCTTAACTTTGTTTATGCCTATAGAAATGCAAAAATAGACTAAAGGGAACTTTTTTGATAATCTTGACCACAAGATTACTTTATCTAAACTTGATCACTATGGTGTATCTGAGAATTGAAGTCATAAATAGCTTTTTAGTCATATGCTTGTATAAATACAGAATATGAGGATTCTATCTTGTTCATATTTAGAGATTTAGAGAACCACGCAAAACAATGTTCAGTTGGGGGCGGCGGGGGGGGGGGGGCAATACTAGAGAGCCTTCTCAACTGGCAGTACCCCTAGCGGGGACCATTCACGGTCCACTCTTACCGTATTTATTCGATTAACTGCCCTGGGCGCTTATTACATTTTTGGACTTTGAGGGTGAACACCTATTTGAGGTGGGCGCTGACTTGAGGCTGGGCACTTATTAAATTTACACCATTTTCAGTAAGTGTAGTGTGTTTATTTTGCAACAAAACAATAAATGCTAATAACAAAACGCGAAGATGTAACAAAGCAAGGTTTCTGTAAAATACTCTGAAGAAAACTCTTGGGGAAGTCTCTTATTAGTACTTATTCAATTTTTTGAGGGGTAAGGGGAGGAACGAGGGTGGGGTGAGGGTGGGCGCTTATTTCAGTTTAAGTGGGGAGGGTAGAGGGTTGAGGTGGGGCTGAGCGCTTATTTGAGGTGGGCGCTAATTCGAGGTTGGGCCCTTATTCGAATAAATACGGTATTCTCAAACTGTGAATTAAAGATGAACGTCGATGACACGCATCTCGCGTATACGAATAGTGATGTAAAAAAGTGCAAACAGCATTGAATCATGTCCTTGAGACCTATTGAATGTACATACTTAGCTTTAACACGAACCAACTTACTCTAAATGCGACTTAACCAAATTTATGCTGATAGGATCTGTCCAAAGGCTAAATAAATAAGCTCTTTATTGATTCCAAAAACAAAGTTTCCGGCTGACAATTGACATAACTTTCTATGTTCAACATGGTAACTGAAGAATGATATACAAATATTCCTAAATAAAGTCACTCAGGCTAAACTAGTTACGTGCGCCGCCTGATTTGGGAACTTATATCCCAACCAGTTCAGTCATACAACCTCTGGGGGTTAAAAGTAAAAAATGAATCAATAGATAAATAAAGTAAGAGGTAAAAAATGAAAGTTGAAAGTTCAAGAGCTGAGATGAATACATTACAACTGTCAAAACCTTATATACCTTACTTTGATAGAGTCAATTAACGCTATAACGGCTCACGTGCGCTCATACCAGTAGGAAAGTATTGACATTCTCTGCCACTGCCACTTCGTTTAGCTCCACCGAATGTAAATACATTTAATAAAACAGTGTTTAAATCGTTCAGTCCTAAGTTGAGGAATTACTTCGGAGTGACCACGATTTCTTAGTGATCTTGTTTACTGAGTGGAAGGAGATCCACCAAAGGTCCCTCAGCAGAATTTGTGACGTTCTTCCGCAACTTATTATCTGAGGCCTCTAGAAGGCTTAAAATTGGTGTGGCCTCCTTGAGAAAGTGAAATTAACGAACTGCTCTCTTCTGAAACTTATCAACTCTAGGTAGATACTTATCATAACTTGCAACACTCCATACTGAAATGCCATAAGTAAAAAGAGGTATAATCAGACTATGGAAGAGGTGTTGTAAAGAGTCTATACAAAACCATAATTCTTGCACATTCTTAATATGTGAATACCCCTTCCTTCTTTGCCAAGAAGAGAACCGATTTGCTTGTCCCAGGTTGTAGGATTACTACAATGTATGAAAGGAGACGCCTAAAAGCTTAAGAACTGCTTCTTGTTTAATATCAAAAGTATTAGTGGGGAGAGGTATTTTAGCTTTACCCTTAAGAAAGCATTTCCTTGGTTTTAGTAAGGTTAATGGTTGTTCTGGGCCCAATTAAGCATGTTTTCCATTTCTCGGGGAGTTTGGTCTTGGGTTCCCTTAACCAAAACATCTTAAGTTAAGTCATCTGCAAATTTAGCTAAAATGGATAGGTCAGAATGAACAGCTTGTATATCATTCAACATTACGGAAAAAAGAATAGGCCCTAGTAAAGTGCCCTGAGGTACACACATGTTTATAGGCAAAAAAAGATCATGTTACCATCAGCTATTACTCGTTGTTACCTACTAAATAAGAAATTAATAATCCAGTTAACAGTGTAGGGATTCATTAGACTGCAAAACCGTCGGTTTTTTTTCTCAAAATCAGTAAAGAAAAAGACCTTTTGTTTGACTGCTCGCGCGTACTTGAATACGCAAAAATACGGACTGTTTTGCAGTCTTCTTCGGCGTGTTGTCGAGTCATTTAATCCCTCCATTATCTTGTTGTAAATCGGCTAAAAACGCGGGAACGAGAAAAAAAAAAGATCAGTGTTGATACACTAAAGATATCATTTAAGTTTCAACTGCAGAGACCGGTGTAGAAGGCACAAGTTTAATAACTGGACCCAAATATAATAAAGGTCCTATCTGTAATAACATTTGGACCCAAGTATTATAAGGGTCTCATCCAGCCTCCTCCTCAGGAGCTTCGTTTTTCGCATGGTTTCGCAAAGAGGTAAGCGCAAAACGCGAGTGACTGGTGACGACGCGCAAGGGACCATGGGCAAGGTAGAAAAAGGGAGGTTTAGCGCCGTCTCGCCCGTTTTCTCCTTCCCGCCTTCCTTTGCGCGCAAATTTTCATCGAGAGAGAGAGAGAGACGTCTGGGTACGGGGCAGGTTCTCAGCTGTTTTAAAAATAACTAAGATAGTACGCGCGTTCTGATTGGTTAAAAACCTATGGTTTATTGTGCCGGTAAATTCATAGTTTTATTTAAAGTTATTTTATAAAAGCAATAGCCAACACTTTCTATGGGTTTACCGGCGTGAAAACCCACTTGGGATGTTGGAAGAACACTCGCCTTCGGCTCGTGATTTACAACTGAAGCTTTTCTCGTGATCTCCCAACATCCCGCGTGGGTTATTAAGCCGGTAAACCGATAGAAAGTGTGGTCTATCGCTTAAATGACCTTTGGTCCTAGCTGAGTTAATAAATAGTCATCGCCACAACATGTGTAAAATTCAGTTTGACAGTGACGTCAAAGCCATGAAGATAAAATTAAATGGCAGTGGCTGGTTTCCGCAGGTCACGTCATTTTACTTACCTCTCATTGGCCATAATTTGTTGTTGGTATATTACCGGTTTATAAAGGTAACTTTTACAAATGCGGCCTTTATTACACTTGGGGCCAAATGTTATTACAAAAAGGACCTTTATTACGCTTGGTTTCAAAATCTTATTACGGATGGGACTTTTATTACGCTTGCATGGGTCAAAATTAATGTTATTACAAATGAGACCTTTGTTACGCTTGGGTCCAGTTATTACACTTGTACATTCTATACCGGTAAGATTGGTTCGTTGGAAATGGAAATGTCGCAATGATGGCAAAGTTTTTTTCATGCGCGTGATGATACTGTCAATATTGTTTGAAAAAAGGGGGCCTGCGGCTTGTGGTTCCACTTGAGTTCTGAACATTTTGACCTTATTTCAGTGGTCTGTAAGAGTGCATACCATGAAAATGTTTTTTTGTTTTTCAAACACTTTGTTAAAGTGCGCTTACTGCATTCCGTGAACTTGAGAGAGAAGGGTCACGATATCTATGTTTTCGTCCAACAACTATTAACTCCTCAAAAGTAGAAACAGAGAAGCAAATTCACATTTAGGTAAAAAACTAAAACCATAAACATATAAGCCACCCAAAGAAAACGGTTGCCTCGATTCATTAACTTCTTTATTTTGATGTCAACCAGTGATAATAGAGACCTTGAGCAACGAAGACGACGGCAGAGAAAACATCACTAAAAAAAAAGAATTTCCGTCCTTTCAAATTTTATCGCGTCTAACTGGAACCGCTCAATTCGTCAAATGTAGGCGACTTTTCCTGGAGTTGAATTCTTAAGGGCTTTATCCTGTTCAAATAGAGAAGGGAAAATTTGTCGTAGTATGTCCACGTCCTTCATAAAACGTCGCAATGGGAGGTTTCACGTCATAGTCGTGTAGTGGACGTCAAAGAAATGTACTAAAAAGCGTGATGCACGTGCAGAGCATGCGCAGTTGTTTTGTTGTCGTCGTTGCTTAAGGTCCCTAATACAAGCCAATGACGTAGGCTTACAGTCAAGTCTTAAAAACCTGAATTTACAATATATCCCCAAATATATGTATCTAAGCCAGCACCAAAACGACATATTGAATCAAAAACCAAAATAACAAATTAAAGGGCGTTGCCATTTTGAAAAAAAATCTGAATGAGTCCGTTCGACTGTTCAGTCCCACTTACATGAAGACAGGGGCACCCAACGATCGAATGTTTCCAAATACGCCCGAATTTTCTCAAATGCTTTTCTCTGAGGCCTGTTTGGTAAATTTGGAGATCTCTGTTTGTGTTCGGATTCGTTAGGCGGACTTCTTTCGTCTCAAAAGTTTTAGGTGGCTTTAACCGACCCTGATGGGCCCGGTCGAACGTTAAAGTACATAGAGTAGCCATACTTTATTAGGAGATTCAAGGGGACGCTTTGTCTTTACACCGAAATTTTCAGGAGTACCTTTTTAAAATGATATTTTAAACCTTGGCAATAGAATGTGAAAAAGGCAACCTCCGTCAATCTTAAGTAAGTCATCCAAAAAAAAATAATAATAATAATTCGAATATCTTAGACGAATGGTGCGGTAATAATCCAGAAGATTTCGGCCTTAAATCGAATTCAAGAAATTTCTTGGCAATATTTTCTCTTTCGTTGGATGCCACTGGTAAGAGTGTGTTATAAAGGATATTCCTGCTCATCGTAAGTAATGATTGCATGGGTATTCACAATAAATAAATGTCAAATACAAGACCAAGTCATTGTGGATACGTAATGCAAATAAAACGTGTGAGTTTTCTAAAGCCGGGTTTTGGTAACAAGCTTTATATAACACCAGTTTAATTGATAATCAAGTCGATCAAATCCAATTTCAGACTTTTTCAAAAGACACGCCTGCGGGATTTCAAACCAAATAGCTAAATTCCCTTGATTATAATTGTCTAAATCACCCAAAAATGATCGTTGTCAACAATGCTTATCAGCTCACTCAGATTTACAAGATACGGAGATTTTCTCCACTTCTCCCATCCCATGTAAGTCAGCCATGGAAATAATGTTGCCCTTCCCGGAAGCGCACGACTTGAATAGTTCGGAGATATCTTGGTCACTCAGCGAACGATCCCAAAAGTTGATGCCTGCCATTTTCCCCACGAAGCTGTAATCGGCAAGGAAACTTTTGTCTTCTCGAGAGTAAAATTGTCCAAATACCAAGTTGTCTTGGCCGGGGTCTAATACTACAATGTAAAGGAAAAGTTGAAGGTTAAAGTTATTATCTTTTTACGTCAGCGAGATTTTCAATATCATGTCGTGTTTAGATAAAGACTGAAGAATTGAAATGAAAGGTAAATGGAATAACCGTTTGGAGCGTGAAATTTGCAACAAGATGAGTAATTTAGAAAGTGATCGTCCATAGGTTGTTTTCTGTCTTACCAGTGTACATGTCTTACTTTAAAGCCAAGTCATGCAAGTGTCGGCTGCGTTCCTTGGCTTTTATAATTAACTGACTTTAACGGCGCGTTTAAAATAACAGTGAGCAAGAGTTGCCCACTGGTCACAGAAGTACTTTAAGTAAGATATCCGCTCATCCACGCACATTTACTATGCATTCAGTCAATTGTCAAATGCAGTCAAATTTAGTCAGATGCAGGTAACAATTCAAGGTGTCCGTGTTAGCGAGGTGTTCGTCATATAGAGGTGTCTTTTAAGAGGGAGCTTACTATAGACTATAGACTAAAGTTGGTATATTTTCGGCACCGATTTTGTAAGCATCAGTGATGTATTTCTGTGAGATAACCAAGTTTGTCGAACTGGCAAATTTTCGAAAGCAAAAAGATCCGCTCAGACACTCCATGTAGTTGACTGTTCTAATATTAGAGACCTTTAGATTCTAGGACGAGAACGACTACGAGTACGAGATTTAACTTAAAGTTTTTTCGCGTATTGTCAAGTAATAGACACCCAGGAAAGCTTCATGATTGTACATCTTTTTCACCCAAAAAATTGGCACTGTTATCTTGACTGAAGGAAGTTAAGCTATCTCCAAGCCGCAAAATAATAAACCTATAACACTCCTAAAAGTTGAATTCGGGGGGTGGGGGTGGGGGGGGGGGGTACTCACTCATATAAGTCATGTAACTATGTGCCGCTCCAAAGGGTATCATTTTTGCGCCGTTTTGGTCTGAAAAGACCGAAAAGTCCATTTTGGTCGAGAACAGAGTATGGTTTTCGAAGAAACCACGGGAGTGTCCTTTCAATTCCAGACGAATCAGATAGGAAGAATAATATGCGAATTCGAAATGGATTTCAAGAAATCTTTTTGTTGGCGTTCTTATCTTAGTGATGATGAAATAATTTCTGCCTATGCCAGGTCTGAAAACGGGTATCGATTTTAGAAGCGAGGTCTGAAAAGTGTGAAAACGGGTGTGAAAATGACATTTTTTGGTCTGAGAGGGTCTGGATTTGGAGAACCGGACGGCACAGCCCCACCAAGAATTCCCAGGGGTATCCCCCCGGGTTGACTTATTCTCCGGCCTGCTGAAGACCAAAACTCAACAAACAAGAACCCCATAGTGGAGTGAACAACGGTGGATCCAGGGGAGGCTCCCCCTTGCATTTACACTAAACGGAGGCCCAAAGCGCCGAAAAACATTTTTTTTGAGACCGCCCCCCATCTCCCCATCCCAAGCCCCCCATTCCGCCACTGGTGAATATGTTTCTATTTGACGGGGCGATCTACAGATTCCGTCGTTTGCTGTAAGTTGCTGTAAACCAACTCAGTTTTAAAGTGAGTCGTTGATCGTAGTATTCAGGTGTGCTCTAACACTGGGTGCGGTCAGTTTGGAGAATGATAAGCTCTACTACGAACGCCTGGTATGTACATTCGGGAACCAGGAGAATAGTTCACATGGGTCTTTACATCTAGATTGTACTAGAAGGAGGATCATTCCCCTTAGCCTTTTGGACGCTGAATGGATAGAATTTTGAAGTCGAATACTGAACGATTCATAAATTTGTTGCTTTCTAGTTTCTTTCAGCGAAAGAAATATGGCGACATCCCTCCACGTGCTCTATTACGATTGACAATGAAAATACCACAACAGCGAAGGCAGCTTCGCTGAAACGCTCTCCTTGCAGACTTCTGCTGCCAAGATATTCTTTTAACAACGATAAACTTCTGACACCATGATACTCAGCTTATAAATGTGGAATTGACTGAGAAAATAAGCAGCAACTTGAATTTCACCAGAAGGACTTATGGGAAGACCCCATAAACTAACAAAATTCACACTGTTCAAGACGCTAAACAATGAAAATTCATACCCCGTGTAAAACTCATAAGACCCTGAAAACCATACCCGATTCAGCGGCACATAAGAGGCATATCATTTTTCTATGACGAAGGAACCAACGGGAGAGTCGTTTCCATTCGATTCAATTTCCTATATGTCCGCAACTGTTTGGGAATACACACTGATTCACAATCCAACACTTAAAGAAAAGCGTCATCTTTGGGAGTGCCCAATTAAGGTAACAGTTGTTAATTAGTTAATTTAATGACAGAGAAGCAGGTCACCGAATTCCTGATAGGCTTGTGTATCCGCCAGTTTTCCATCTAAGTAAAACTTCCATGGGTATCCTGTTACGCAGAAATGGTTCCACTTGTCAAGACCAAAGCCGCTGTCCGCCTCGAAGCTGGTCCTGTGGAGAGAGAGAGCCAAAGAGAACGAAGCTAGAGTTACAGTGGGTTCTTCAACTAAAACAATTATTAATTTCGCGTGTCTAGCTAGTTCTCAGCTCTTCTGAAGTCTTGACATTTTATTTCCCCTCTGCCTAAAACTAACTTGTTTGCTCGCCGTTTGCTCGATTAACATGACGTGGCGCAAAAGAATTAACGCCCTGAAATTTACTACAGCGTGTAAAGCATTCTAAACCATTTTTTTAATAGCTGTCAGAAAATTTCAAATTGTTTTCTTTATGTGTGAAAGGTGTGAGCCCAGGAGTCATTCCATAAGTAGGTGAAGCATGCCTCTAGACTGCACTGAGAACGCTTATAAGAACTCTACCTGACTGTTGAATTGCCACTTTCTACAGACGTCATTATATGGACCTACTCAATGACCTCTGTATACCTTCGACGTACATTCGGTAAAGTGACAAACACTACAAACAGCTACATGGAACAGCGATAGGCTCTCCAGTTTCTGTTGTTGTAACAGATATTGTTGATGCAAAACATCGAGGAAGAAGCCCTAGCGAACTATTAATATCGCTTTGGTTACGCTACGTCGACGACACCTTTACCACCGTACACAGAGACGAAATCAAAGATTTCAGTGTTCACGAGCACCTTCACAGGCAGAACCACCAGTAACCCAGGCTCACTATTTGTATCACGTACGGGATTCATATAACATGAGTAAATATAGAGAACAAGTGGGGCGAAGTTTAGGTCTGGAAATTTGCCAGAAAAAGGAAAAAAAAATCGATGAAACTTACCATGTGGCGAGTTGTTGTTGTCCTTAATATGCACACGAAGTTTCGGAGAAAATAGTCTCCTTCACCTTTACTTTACTATAGGAAAGATGAAGGAGACTATCACGCTTTTTTGTACATTTCTTTGCCGTCCATGCACAACTACAATGTGACATGACCAATTTTGAGTTGATTAGAGAACGGGAACGGCAAGGCGATAGGGCGTCGATAAAACCCAGAACATGGAACATCCCGGAACATTCCGGAACATTCCGGAACATCCCGGAACATCCCGGAACATCCCGGAACATGAAAAAATTAAAATATTTTTCATGAAAAAAAAAAGAAATAATTTTTGCAAAAATTAATAAGAACGTAAAATAACAAAAAAAACCCCGAAAAATAATGAAATAATCAAGAAAAAGAAACTGGTATCCTCTCTGAGTATGAGAAAACAATATTTTGTCGCAACAAATTAAAATTTGTTGGGCGAGTGAGGGTTGATGCAAATGACAGTAATGAGTGAAGGCTTGCTTCTAAATTCAAAATATATTCAAATGGGTCGCGAAGAGGGGGTTTTCAAGCTTTCCTCACACAACCACCTCTTGTAATTGTTTGCCATGAGTTAATCATTTGGTGGTTATCCATTTACGGTTCTGCGATGGTCTGAAGTGTCAGTGCAGTATTTCATGTCAAGCCAAGTCGGTAAGTAACTCATGTCAAGCCAACATATGGTCTCCTAGTATATAACCGACATTTGCTTACTTGAGGTGCTTTGCTTCACTTGAGGTTGACATGAATTACTTACAGACTAGGCGGCTCTGTAAACTTAAGAAGAGTATGGGGGCTCCTGTCTTTGGATTTTAGTGGACAATACTCACATTGGTAGTAGGTTCTATACTGTTTACAGTCAGCATGATATTTCAGACGTCTCCTCGAGTCGCAAGAGGAGTTTGCAGGGAGATGACTAAAATTCAGGCTAACTGATAACAGTTAGAAACTACCGCTGAGCTACCACGGCCACTGCAACTATTCTGCGGCGAATGTGAATGTTTAATTTTATTATCCAAGTCCAAAGCAACGAGCCCCTAAGCTCTTCTTACGGTCGCAAAGGCGTAAATTGATAACCGTTAAACCGCATGGCGAACATTTACAAGACGTGGCTGTGTGAGGAAAGCTTGAAAACCCCCTCCTCGCGACCCATTTTAATATATTTTGAATTTAGAAGCAAGCCTTCACTCATTACTGTCATTTGAATGGACCCTCACTCACCCAAAAAATTCATTGCGACAAAATATTGATTTGTCATACTCGGAGATGATACCAGTTTCTTTTTCTTTCTTTCTTTCTTTCTTTCTTTCTTTATTTTTCGTTTTTATGTTATGTTATGTTATTTATTTTGTTATTTTAAATTTTTGCAAAAATTGTTTCTATCTATTGTTCTTTTTATTATTATTATTATTATTATTATTATTATTATTATTATTATTACTTACTTACTTAATTAATTATTTTTTCATAAAAAAATTTTAATTTTTTCATGTTCCGGGATGTTCCAGGATGTTCCGGGATGTTCCGGGATGTTCCATGTTCCAGATTTTATCGACGCCCAGGGCGATGTGGGATTAGCCCTTAATCCTCTTACTTAGTAACCGCGCTCGACTTATATATCCTGACGTGAATGTACAATAGTTCAGTTGACCTTAGGCCTTGCTCATGTAATCTCCTTCAACCATTAAATAGTATAACCTTGAATATATACTTGGCCTCCACTCTTCGTTTCGCCTCCGATAATCGCACATGGTGTCAGAAGCGGGATCCTACAGCAGGAACAAGCAGTAGCGGAAAAGAAATTTGTTTCGCCACTTTATTTCACATCGCGTGAATGAATCCCAACACTCAAGGCCCAAACGAAGAAAGAATCGAGGAATCAAGCACGCCAAGCACGCCACTCACGTCACCGCCCACAGCCGCAGTGGAAACGAGTTCTTCGACGGGCTCAATACAGATGGATAACCCACAAAGTGGAAGCATGAAAATGGCCGCAGTCAATTTTAATATTCCTCCTCCGGCTAAGTTTGATCCCAAAACAGACGATTGGGACCACTGGATACAGCGCTATGAATTATTTGAAGCAGCTACGGAACGTGATGGGCTGTCAGATAAAGTGCGCATCAATGCGCTTTTTTACGTAATGGGAAATAATGCCGCCGACATTTATGACAGTTTCAAACTGATAGGGGAAGATATCAAGTACGCAAATGTCAAACAAAAATTCAAGGATCATTTCAAAGGAAAAGTCGCTTTAGTCTTCGAGAGAGCACAGTTCGTAAGACGCTTTCAGCAGGACAAAGAATCTGTCCTCACCTTTATAGAAGACCTTCAGAAAAGAGCCGACCTCTGCTCTTTTGGGGACCTTCGTGACCAAATGGTGCACACTCAAATAATAGCTGGTTTGCGTGATTCTCATCTCAGGCGACGATTGATGGCAAATGACAATGTAAATCTGGATCAAGTAATTAAAGAAGTTAAATCCGCCGAAATCACGAAACATCAAGATCAAATTCTTCAAAACAACTCAAGTGCCGCCGACATATCGGAAGTACATGACAGGAAAGTTCCAGAAAACAAACGTCGAAGTCCAAAACCCAAGCATTTTGGAGGTTCTTCGAAAAGGAAGTAAAAATCGTGTTACAGATGCGGAGCTCAGCCAGGTCACCCTCCTCAGCGTTGCCCAGCCAAAGATGCTACCTGCAATGCATGAAACAAAAAGGGTCATTATTCCAAGGTCTGCAAATCTTCAAAACGAGTCCAAAGGGTTGGCGAAGATTCGGACGAAGATGATATCTCTGTAATGACCGTCAATGAAGTTGTCAACACAATCGAAACATCAAAGAAATGGCGTACCAATCTATTAATAGGAAACTCCGAAATAAATTTCAAGATTGATACTGGCGCGGAAGTCACAGTTATTCCTGAAGAAGTTTTTCGCCAATGCAACTTAGAAAAACTGCACTCCACCTCCAAAAGACTCTTTGGAGCCGATCACAATGGTCTTCGTGTAATGGGAACAGTTCGTGATACTTTATCCCTGGGAGAAACGTGCGTGACGGAAGATATTTATGTTGTCAAAGGTTTAAAAGAGCCTCCTCTGGGACAGCCAGCGATTGAAAACCGAAATTTATTGGCTAGAATCAATGAAATCCAAAGTCAAAGTTACGAAGAAAGGATTAAAGCGAAATACCCTCAACTGTTCCATGGACTGGGAGAACTTGAGGGACAATATGAAATCAAGTTGAAGCCCGATGCTCAACCGTTTGCAATCATGACCCCAAGACGTATTCCATTACCAATGAAAAGCAAAGTAAAGGAAGAACTTGCTGGAATGGAGAAGCTGGGAGTAATCAGAAAGCTTGACAAGCCTACAAACTGGTGCGCTGGAATGGTCACAGTACCTAAATCAAACGGGAAACTCCGAATATGTGTGGATCTGACAAAGCTAAATGAAAACGTTTGCCGTGAAACGTATCCACTTCCAAAGATTGACGCCTTGCTAGGAGAGATTGGAGAGTCCACAGTGTTCACAAAAATTGACGCAAATTCCGGTTTTTGGCAGGAGAAGCTAGCAGAGAACTCTCAACTCCTGACTACGTTTCTGACCCCCTTTGGCAGATATTGTTTTCAGCGACTCCCCTTTGGTTTAAAATCAGCACCAGAACGATTCCAAAAGAGAATGCTAAACGAGCTGGAAGGTTTGGAAGGAGTGATATGCATTATGGATGACATCCTCGTGCATGGAAAGACGCAAAAAGAACACGATGAACGACGTGAAGCAGTTTTAACAAGATTGATCAGAGCAAGAATCACCCTGAACCTAGAGAAGTGCGAATTTTCAAGGAAACAATTGAAGTTTGCGGGCCACAGTCTCAGCGCTCAAGGGATAGGCCCCGATCCAGACAAGACTGCAGCTATCGAAAAGATGGAGAGACCGCAAAATGTTGCAGAACTACGAAGATTCCTGGGAATGATCAACCACCAACAGAAGTTCATCGAAAACCTGTCCGAGAAGACTATGCCTCTTCGCGATCTTCTTTCAAGCAAGAACGAATGGCACTGGGGCCAAGCTGAAGAAGAATCTTTCTGGGCCAGTTCTCGCTCATTACTGCTCCGAGAAAGAAGCTATTATATCTGCAGACGCCCTCGTCGTATGGATTAGGAGCAGTCCTCTTACAAGTCCAAGAGGATGACACAAAGAAGCCAATCGCCTACGCTTCGCGCTCTATGACGTCTACCGAACAAAGATACGCTCAGATAGAGAAAGAAGCACTCGCAACTACTTGGGCTTGCGAAAAGTTTGCCGACTTTGTCCTCGGTAAAGAGTTCGTTATCGAAACGGACCACAAGCCGTTGGTGCCGTTACTAGGATCTAAATGTCTCCAGGACATGCCACCACGCATTCAGAGGTTCCGGATGCGACTGATGCGCTACTCGTACCATATAGTCCATGTACCCGGAAAAGATCTCACCACAGCTGATACCTTATCAAGAGCGCCGCTTCACCGAAGTCTCACGAAAGACGAGAGGCAACTTAATGATGATTTAAACCTCTATGTCTCACACATAGTAGAATGCCTACCAACTACAGAACGCCGCTTGCAAGAAATACGCCTTCATCAGGATGAAGGTGAAGTTTGTTCAAAGCTTAAGCTGTTCTGCAGTGAAGGCTGGCCAGAGAAACATCACCTGAATTGTTCACTCCAACCGTACTGGCAGTACAGAGCAGAAATCACTGTTCAGCAGGGAATCCTAATGAAAGACGACAGAGTCATAATTCCCTCAGCGTTAAGGCTCGATGTATTAGACAAGATACACACAGGTCATCAAGGCATCCAGAAATGCCGCGAAAGGGCGAAAAGTGGTTTTTGGTGGCCGAATCTCAGCAAGCAGATAGAAGATCTTGTCATAGAATGCCCTACTTACATCAAGACGAAAACTAATCGTGCAGAGCCCATGATTCCTTCCCAGTTACCCGAGCGTCCATTCCAGAAAGTAGGAACCGATCTATTCGAATGGAAAGGATAAGAATTCGTCCTCGTGGTAGATTACTTCTCGCGATATTGTGAAATTGGAGTACTTCGAAAATGCACCTCCCAAGAAGTAGCCTGCGAAAACATCCGTTTCTCCTCGCTCTTCGTCGCTGAGGACGTTTCGCGCGGAGGAACGTCTGCGACTCAGCGACAGAAATTCCATACTGATGACGTAAAATCTGTCCAGAATCCGGTCAGAAGCGCTGATTGGTCGACGGAGCAGTTACATTGTTTTAGCTATTGTTTACAAATGACAGACAAAAGACAAAAGGCCAAAAAGGTCAAATGTAAACACGAAGAATCTCTAACAAAACAGTCAATATTTGTGCAATATAGTCTTCTCTAGAAGAAGCATTTGAGTTTTGCTGGAGCTCGTGGACAGATCAACACAACACTTTACCAAAATCTACCAGAAGACACGCAAAATTAGACAAATTTATATTTGGAACCCCATAACTACCGGATTTGTTATGTAAACATTGATTTGCGTCATCAGTATGGAATTTCTGTCACTGAGTCGCAGACGTTCCTCCGCGCGAAACGTCCTCAGCGACGAAGAGCGAGGAGAAACGGATGTTTTCGCAGGCTACCCAAGAAGTGATCAATCACCTAAAAGCGATTTTCGCACGCCACGGAATTCCAGAAACCGTGATCTCCGATAACGGACCGCAGTATTCCTCAGCGGAATTCGCCAAATTTGCAGAAGACTGGGGATTCACACACATTACCAGCAGTCCAAAATACCCTCAAAGCAACGGAGAAGCCGAACATATGGTGCAAACAACACTAAAAACCTCCTTACCAAATCCGACGATCCATATGAAGTACTACTCGCTTACAGAGCTACCCCACTTGAAAACGGATTCAGCCCAGCCGAACTATGCATGGGAAGGCGACTACGCACAACCCTTCCAACTACTCCATTTAAACTAACACCGCAATGGCCTGAGTTAACGAAATTGCGTGAAAAGGAAGCCAAGGTTAAGACCGAGCAAACAAAAGATTACAACCGACGACATGCAGTTAAAGAGCTAAGTCATCTGTCACCAGGCGATCGTGTTTATATCCCTGATCGTAAAGAGAACGCGTTAGTAGTGGCCAAAACACCAGAGCCACGTTCCTATTACCTCGACACTGACAGTAACGCAACTGTTAGAAGAAACAAACGGCAGCTCAATCCAAATCCTAAAGAAGCAAAGTACGTAACAGGAAGCCCTTTACCCGATCCTCCTGAAACTTCTAAGGATCAGCCACCTGTTCCGGCAGAGAAGAAAGATGCTTTACGGTCTGCTTGAAAGTCTTCCATTCCAGTTCCCGTTCCTGGAAACACTACTCGTTCCGGAAGAAAAGTTAACCCGCCCAAGAGATTAGGTTTTGATTAGGACTTAAAGAACATTTGTTATAAGTGATTCGTTTCGTGATCGAAATACTTGATTGACTCGCTTCCTATCGTTAAAGAACTTTGCACAGAGACATTCTTATAGAAGTACCAAAATGTGTAGAAAGGGGGATGTGGGATTAGCCCTTAATCCTCTTACTTAGTAACCGCGCTCGACTTATATATCCTGACGTGAATGTACAATAGTTCAGTTGACCTTAGACCTTGCTCATGTAATCTCCTTTAACCATTAAATAGTATAACCTTGAATATATACTTGGCCTCCACTCTTCGTTTCGCTTCCGATAATCGCATAGGCGATAAATTTTACTTTCTCTCTCTGAAATCGAACGCGGTCCCCCCTCTTCAGTTCCAACCAAACTTCTCTCCTTTCAAGTAACTGGGTGACTTGGTACAAGGGCGAAAAAGTTGTAAAGGACGCGAAGTCTATTTTTCAGCGACGTTTTCATTTGCGTCGCCGTTGTCGGATCGTAACGTCCCTAATAACAACTTTACGACGACCGCTTACCAATTTCAAGGACAAAAACCGACCGGAGGACAGACAGGGAGCAGTTTACAAGATAAAATGCTGCGACTTCCAAGCCACTTACATTGGTGAAACCAGCAGAAACCTTAGCACGCGACTGACTGAACACAAACGACCGAGAAGAAATGGTGATGTCAACACCAGGGGGGAGCAGGGGCTCATTACTAGCAAAGAGCCTTAAGAAGTAAATACACCTATATGGGTTATCTTATCTATTACCTTTTACCTTGTGTGCTTTCTTTTGTAGGGTCTCAATGATATTAAGATTATTGACCTCAAAGACGTTATTGTTAAGGTACGTTTCGGTGAAGGAGTGGAAGCAGTTTCAACGAGATCACTATTTTTTAACCACAACAGTTTTTCCTAGCTCATGGTGCAAGGGGTGGGGATTTTTATCCGTCTAACAAGTTACATGTACACTGTACATTAGCAAACACTGAAAGTGAATTCCGAGTTTCCTGATATAATTTTTCACAAAGTGGTCAAAATGGCTATTCTCTCTGTCTCTCTCTTTCGCAACAAGTTGAGAATCCTAGCTAATTCAGCTTACTGAGCCCAATTTAAAGAGAGAAGATTAAAAAGGACTTTAACCTACAGTGGGCCGCTAGTCTCGAAGTAAAGATAGCCATATAGTATATACAAGCCAACGTCCATGGCAAGTTGACGTCCTTTTAATCCTGTGCTGAATATACACCCTTGATCACTGTCTTTTTCAAATTTGAACCAGATGCAGAAAGTAAATGAATCCAACGGCCCACTTAATTTCCCTGCATCAATGTAGTCAGCCGTTTGATTTCGGAAAAGGAAACCTTCTTCCTTAATTGAATCGCAAGCTGTAAAAGAAACACATGATGTAAACACGGTCAGTAGTCATAGAGGGCTGAATTTCTCCGTTTTACTGTAGAGGTAAAAACGAAGTAAGACGAGGTAAGGTCACGTCAAAGTTAGGTGGAGGGAAGGTCGAGGTGATGACGTCACTGCAAGCAATATTCCTTGGTAAAACGTCGAGGTAAACCGTTGATATTGAAATAGCTGTCTTCCGCGTCTATTTTAACACAATGGGAACAACATAAAACAATAAACATGCCTAGACTTTCCCGCTCTATAGCCTCTTTGATTGTGCTTAATTAAAATAGATTGGGAATATTGTGGAACGTTTTCGAATGTTTCAAAACGCCCTTCATGCATCTTTTTACAATTTGGGTTTATAAATGTTTCCGGGTTTATAAAATTTAGGTTGTTCCGATTAACAGGCACATAGTAATACATTTGTTAGCCTCCCACGCAAACGTTCTTAGGGGTTCGTCACGAGTTCCTACCCCACGAACGGGAGAGGAATGATTGCGTGACGAACCAGTAAGAACCGTCTGCGTGGGAGGCTATACATTTGTCTAATAAAACCTATTAGGATTTTGAACCGTTTGCAAAAATCGATAAGTCAGTGGCCGGTTTAGCCTGGAAGGAGGCTTAATAAGTAAAACAAATATATTTCTATATTTCTTTTAACGGATGACTTGTCACACTATTCGTTTATTGTTGCTTTTGCGGCTATCACGGAGTACTGGTTTTGTTCATGGTTGCTGCAGACACTATTTGATTCCCTGAGTATTTTTCTACAAATTAAACCCCGTTTTTTTTTTGTATTTCCTCTAAATGCAGTGTTCAGAGTTTTAAGTTACCTTGAAAGGGAAATTTTAAATTGTTTCATCAACGAATAACTGAAAACGAAAACGACGACTGATGGAACGAAAATGCTCCTTTTAGCCATCCTTAAATTTTCTTTAAAATTTCAATTTTTCATGACCCCAAATCCCCTCTTGGGTTCTCCATAACCTAGAAATTATCATTTGGTCCTTGCCTATTATCTCAGGGGCACTCAACAACCCTTTTCTGTAAAATATTTGTTCGGAAAAGCAAATATTGCCTAGAATCTTTCCATTACTTGAGGAAGACTAAAAATTTCTAGATGACCCTTCCGTTCATGTACAATTTTTGACGCTTATTTAATAAATTCGTTACGATTTTCTGAAGTTTAATTTTTCACTTTTCAATTCCCTGGTTAGGCTATTTTTCGTACAAAAAAGGAAACCTAAAACTTTCCGATTCAAAAATGTGATGGAAAGAGGAATCAGAAAAATTCCCTTTTCTGTAGTAGGTTAACTGCACCTAAAATTCTCGGCAAAATAATAATACTGAAGTGCTTGTAATTTCGGAAACGCTCAAGTTCCCCTAGGATAACCAAAGAGGTTCAAATTTTAAATCACCGTACCGTTAAGAAGGCATTTCTAGATATCTAAAAGTACTCTGGATAGCCTAAAAAGTGTCTTCCATGTATTTAGCAGGAATCTATCGTTGGGTGCCCCTGGTATCTAACCTGCGGCAACCACGGCCACAAAAGCCTTTTGGGTCTGACGTAAATTGCAGTTAAAATCGGTCAATGAACCTTTTGTAAGAGAGACATTTTAAGGAAATAGATGTGTTTTCCCTCGCTGTTCATCATATTATAAAGTGTGGGAGTAATCATGTATGACAATAACATCGAGCTACTTGTTAACTCCGCTGTTTGAATAACTCCCTTTCCCTTCTCTTTCAAACGCCTGCCACGCAGGCTTGAATAACCGAGACATCCATTCCTGCTAACCATAATAATCTAAGAATAAAAGATATTGAGAGTGCGCTTGAAATGTTTCTTACGTTCACACTGCTCCCTGGAGGCGATTTCCTTTTTCAGTTCGTCAACCTTTTTGATAAGTTTTCTGACACGAGGGCCAATATGGACCACTTTAACTCGACGAGCTTCCACAGGTTTGGTCTGCTCCAATAAAGTAATTAGCACCACAAAGCTAGCAATGGCAATCAACTTCACGGCAGCCATATCTATAAAATTAAGAATAAAACGGATTAAGTATAAAGGACAATTTTTACGGTTCGACCATCGTGAGCATACATCATTGGGCCTGTCAGCAAAAGGACCAATAAGGAGATATCGTGATAAGTGGTATCTTCGCATTCTTCACTACTTCAACTCACCTGTCACGGTAACCGGTCAATAAAGCCACCTTAGCCTGCTAATGTATTTGCTTGGAGACAGCGGTGTTCCCAAACCGGAGCTACCGTTACATTTCATTGATGACATAGTGCGCTTTTTTTTGCGAAGCGAGGGCCGAAGGCCTTCGCGTATGGCAGTTTTAATATTTTTTGTGGGAATTCGCATATAAGACCGAAAATCAAGGCATGAAAACATTATGTTTTACACCCGTCTTCGCAGACGAGTTTTATCGGCTCATGTCAAAATGAGGTTTTTAATGTATGAAAATACAAGACAAATTTGTAGTGGATGGCCTATTACAGCGCCAGGATGGTGCACACTTTCTAACTGCTAAAGTATGATTCAACACGTAAATGCTCACTGATTTGATGTAGACTGTCTTGTTGTCATTTTTTGAAGTCTTTATTTTCTCAATGCCCTCCAAAGTGATAACAATAGTGTTGAGGGCTTGCGAAGCTCGATTGGCTTTTTAACAAGAGGACCGAGACTCTATTCTTTCTCTTTAAACAACAGTTTATTCTTCAACAGCTTCTGACAGCAACTTTACTACTCAACTAATTCTACTAGCTAACACACCGAATTAAGTAACGAAATTGTGGATGTGTTTGGGTTAGCTGACCATGAGACCCTTCCATTGCATATCCTGTCGCTGAACTTATGAACTAGTAAAAATAATGAAATAGTAGTTTCTTCTATCTGATCAATACGACTGTCTGCCTTCTGCAAAGTATCACTAAGCTGGCCATCATAACGCTGAAACAACTCATCAAAATTATCAATCACAGTACGGTTAATCTTAATAGGTGGTGGGATGGTCAGGGATTCTTGATGCAAGTCCAGCGGAGTGAGATCATCTGAGTTTGGATTCCACTGAACATATGTAATCATATCAGTTGAAAACAGTGGAAGTGATACCAGTAGTCGTTGAGGACAGGTGCCTAAGCTCGTTTTTTCACTCCGATGAAACTGACGTTGCAGGGAAAGTTATAAACTGCCAATGGAGAAACATCTAACTCTCTGCTGCTTAAAGTTAATGTTCCAGAAGTTGTTGAGAGGAAATATCTGCCTCCAAGATGAATTAGCGGATGGATATGGTCACAGTCTGGAGCGACCTCGTGGTTCCGCGGGCAATAAAGTTTCAGGTTCGGATTCCAAGCAAAACCCAACCATTGCAAGCTAGAAACCGACTTTAAGACATTTTTGGGACATAAAAAACCTACTTCACTACTAAAACACCTATCTAATCCCTCTAAAGACACTACCCGCCTCGAATTTGGACAGTTAATTAAAGCAAGGTTTGTGTGTTGAACAGGCCCTGAAAAACACTTACCCGAAATATTAAACTTAAGGGGCGTCAAATGTTCTACGACGCAGAAACTATTCTTATCCGTGATCTCAGGTGCTAACAATAAAATATCAATAGTCAAATTCTGACCGTCATGTTCAACGTCAACCATGGGGCCTGCCAGGACGGACAAACCTTCCTCTAATGCTGTTATAGTCAATCTCAAAGAAGGATCAATAGAAAGTTTGGCAGACAGGTGCGAAGAAATAAACTTAGGCAAATCTGAATATCCTACCAACGGTTTATCGTTCAGATGGGAAATCTGGCTTAAAGTATCTTGAATTTCAAGAAGTTTAAGAAAGGCGACAAAGGCACGGTTAATTTCCGCAGTATATTTAGAAAGAAATTCCATTGTCAATCCCTCCTGGCATCTGACCGAATTGGCAAATTTTTTGAGTTGTCTCTGCCAACTAGTAAACGTGTTTTGAGCTATTTTTAAACCCTGAGACAAAATATCCAATTTACTGTTCATTTGATCGGTAATTTTAAACAAATACACAACTTTTCCGTTGATAACACGCATCATACTTTGACACGGGACGAAAAATTGGATTTACTGCACTTTTGACACGAGTCAAAAGTTAAGTCAAATATGGTATTGGCTTTGACTTCACCTTTGACGTTGGGTAAATCCGTTTTTTCGTCCCGTGTGAGAAATAGACATAGCGCTGCTCAGAGTTCTTAAAGTGGCCTTAAGTTTCTTAACGTGATTCTCCTCGCATTTATGGCCTGTTCCGGTCCAAATCGCGCGAAAAATACCTAGACCCCCTGCGTGGCACATCCAATTTGAACGTCGCATGCGGCCTCTCCCTAGCAACCACTGTCTTTCGTCAACCGACATGCCGCGGCAGAATCGTAACGCCCAAGTTTTACACTCAGAAACGGAACTTTTATAAGCTCTTGGACACGACATTCTCGAAACTCTTCCTACCATAAACTGATAATACCTCGGTAAATAAGTGTCACACTCAACCAAAGTTGAAAAGCCTGGCAAAGAAAGAAGCCGACGAACAACTTTTTGAAAACCGCGAACAGTAAGCAATAATTGATCAAAGAACTTTTCCAGAGGTACAGAACAAGATTTGTTACTCATGGCGAAACTACCGCTAAGGTCAGTAAAATTAAAAACTGTGTGAACATTCAAAAGCTGTGTTTCGGCATAAAAAGTAAGCGGCTTAGGAGAATGACTAATCATCAATGGAGCAGGATAAAATGTTACTCTCTGCATAAGAGAACCAAAATTTTGAGAACGTATCACGGAAAACTGAACAAAAACAAAAACAAGTATAAGACAACGCATCCCTAAAGAAAAACAAAACAAAAATGAATCGACTATGAGAGGACTCACTACTTCCTTGATTTATTGAAATTAACGATTAGGCGTTTATCCAAAATGTTTTGTTCCGGTTCCCAAGTCGACTGATTTCTTGAAAAATTATGCCACTGAACTAGGTACTCCATTTTGTCCTTTTTCCTACGAGACTTAAGAATCCGATCAGCTTGAAAAATACTTTCGTCATCTATCACAGAATGATCAGGATTTGATTGCGACTGCACCGGTCGGTTCTGACGATCTAAATGGGTGCTTGAATTTGCAGAGTCTGAATCTGGTGGACTAGAGTCAATATTTTTATTGACAGGAAGCTCTGACTCAAAACAGTCATCTGGAATATCTGACTCATCAAGATAAGGCTCACTTGGGTCATCAAATAGTGGAGGTTCAATTAGTCGTAAGCTCGGATCGATAAATGGCTTCATTCGATTAGCATGCACGGCAAAAGTAACTTCTTATTAGTGTCAGTACGCAATCGAAAATGAACTGGAGACGACTGTTCTACTATTCTGTATGGTCCCAACCAACTGTGTAAAAGTTTCCTAGACAAACCCTTTTTAGTCCGAGGAGTGTAAACCCATACAGGCTGACCAACCACAAAAATTGGTTCCTTAGCCCCTTGATCATAGTAATCCTTCATTTTCTGCTGAGCACGCTGCAAATTTTCTCTTGCCAAATTTTGCGCTAACTCAAGCTTTTCAACAATACGCTTACGATGTTCAAAAACTGAAGTAGTGACGTCATTAGCGACTGGCGGTAAATACTTGACATCCACAGGTAAACGAGGCTCACGGCCATACAGAACGTAAAAAGGAGAATCGCCGATGGCTTCTAAAACTGATGTTCTATGAGCAAACAAAACTGGTGGTATAAAATCGTCCCAGTCCTTTTGATTCTTTGAGATATACATCGAAAGTGACTGACATAAGGTAGAGTTAAACCTTTCGACTAGGCCATCAGTCTGCGGGTGATAGCTAGAAGTATTTACTTTGTGAATTTGAAAGATCTTACAAACATCTGCTACCACTTTAGACAGGAAATTTTTCCCTCTATCAGACAGCAAAACTCTAGGTGCACCATGTCTGGCTATGACTTCATCCACCAAAAGACGAGAAATTATAGTTGCTTCAACGCTTGGAACGGGAAATGCTTCACACCATCGAGTAAGGTAATCACTGAAAACGACAACGTACCTGTTGCCTGTATTAGAAGGTGGGAAAGGCCCCAGTACATCAAAGGCTACCCTATCAAAGACATTTTCTACTGGAATTGGAAGTAAAGGTGCTTTCTTCGAATTTCTAGGCGATTTCCTCATGGAACATTCAGTACAAGACTTACACCAAGTTCAATATCTTTGTACATTCCTTTCCACCAATACCTCTGCTTAACCCTATTGAACGTCTTATGGACCCCAAAATGCGCACCAGAAACATGGTCATGCATGTTAGACAAAATTTCAAACCTTAACGTTGGTGGAACAAAGAGCTGAGAAAACGAATCTCAAGAATTGCGCTTCCGATTGTCGCCTAAATGATAAAGTAATCCATCATGCCCAATATAAAAACTATCACTCGTGAGCAAAACTTTGCGCGCAACACGATCGTCTGATGGTAAAACATCACTTTCTAGGTAATCAATTATCTCGCTCAGGTCAAGATCACGCCTTTGCAACTCTCGAGTTTTCGCCACTTGTGGCTCCTCGTTTTGGAGTGAATTAAAATCGCATGACACATAAGGACTCGTAGATAAACCATCTGCATTGCCATGAATCTTACCAGGGCGATGAACAATCTCAAAATCATACTGCTGCAAAAGTAAAGCCCATCTTGCTAAACGACCTGAAGCGTCCTTAACATTCATTAACCAACGCAAGGAACTGTGATCAGTAACAACTGTAAATTTGCGATTCTGAAGATAAGGTTGAAACTTCTTAATTCCTTCGACTAACGCAAGTGCTTCCCTCTCAGACTTATACTATCTTCCACATCTCGTCAGCCGTAGGCAAAGTCTTAAACCACGCGCTAGCATGACCCTTTAAATAGAGAGGAAGCCCCAATGCTAAATTGTTGTCGTTCGAACCATTTAATCTACCAGCCCTCTTATAATTCCTAATAAACTCATGAGCGTCTTCACACTCATCTCCCCTAAAAACTGGAAACGTTACTGACGATTTCACACCGACATTTCTACCCTGTGAGTTAAAAGAAGCCTGCATTCGCTCAACTGCTCGACACAACTGACTAACTTGATCTTCCATTTCGGCATAGACTGGTGCAAGAGACAACCGATCTGACTCTAAAGAACTATCAACAAAATGAATTATGCGGTTCCTGAATTGAATCTTCACTTATACTTTCACGACTAGGACAATTATCTCTGGGCTCTACGTTTTGATAAATAATTTCTTCTTCAGAGTCGGACTCGTGGTCGCTAGTACAAAAAGAAACTAGAGAGCATTCACTGGGAGTCGGAATTGCACTTAACGCCTGTGCTTGTGCTTCAGCCCTAGGTGATCTATTAATTGACCTTAGAAATGAACGGAACAACGGTTCTCTAGACTGCTGAACGGGTGGAGGAGGGGCAGGCCACTCATTCGAACCTGAATTCACAGCCAAATTTTCCTGGCGAACGGCCCCCTGAGCCAGGGTTCGCGCTCTCTGCCTAGTAATCAGGATGACAAGTGGAAAAGTTCAACATAAGCCAAATTTCCCAAAGACTCAAAAACGAAGGCAATAAAATCAAAAACGACACTCATAAACGGGAAAAGCGACAAACACATCAAAAGAAAACCGACCTTTGAAATTGACTCGTAGCAGCCATAACTAATTCACAAACTAATCGACACGTATACTGAAAATAAACTACGACTTACGCAAGTTCGAGCATTATCAAAAGCAAAGAAAACTACAGGACTAAACTAGCTTGCAACGGAAAGGCATGCTAACAAAAACAAAGTTCCACTCTCAATTGCAGTGATTCTTCAAAAGAGTTCTCCACCAAGTATGTTGAGGGCTGGCGAAGCTCGCTTGGCTTTTTAACAAGAGGACCAAGACTCTATTCTTTCTCTTTAGACAGCAGTTTATTCTTCAACAGCTTCTGACAGCAACTCTACTACTCAACTAATTCTACTAGCTAACACAGCGAATTAAATAACGAAATTGTGGACGTGTTTGGGTTAGCTGACCATGAGACCCTTCCATTGCATATCCTGTCGCTGAACTTGTGAACGATAGAATAGTCTACACTGTCGCAATTAACAAGTACTAGAGAGCCAATTGAATGCTAGCGGTAAAACTGCTCGCTAGGACCAAGCATACAAAACAGGAACTTCAGTGGAGGCAAAACTCAAGGTCAGCTATAATCCCCGAACATGCTTACTTCAAAGAACTACAACAAGTTTAACAAATCCTTTCGGTAGACGATACTTCTCAAAACCCAGGAACTAACCGTGTGGCCTATACATTGAATTTCCTTGGACTATGACCTGTTTATTAAGAAAATAGCGCGTGCTACAAAATAATCATTCGGATAGAAAAACCTTAAAAATACCAAAACTCCAAAACAGAACTAACAGCAACTACTTCATAACAATAGTAAAAGAGTTTATGTTCAAGTCTTGGGCATGTTTTGGGCTCTCATTCCCACAACACATTTTAACCCTCGCCTCATATTTATACCCAAGAACATAAACTCTATTGCTTTAATGAAAAATCGTGCGTTAAGTGTATGCAAGTGAAGTTTTCATACTATCAATAAAATTCCTGCTTTCTTGAATATTTTGTCTAAAACGCGCATACCTCTAAGCCATACCTTTTACTATAAAACTACCGATATCTTTAAAGGAATTTCTGGTTCTTCAGTATAACCTGATAAAGGTTGAAGTATGTTGTGATGCGTGAGTCGTAGCTACTCCCCCTTGTCATAGGTCTTCAACATAAATGAAGAAACTCACACACTTTTTATGCGCCAATCTTTTACTAACTGCTTAATAACAAAGCTCGAAATGCCCGGGTTTGTAAATCAGCACTATGCAAAAACTTAAACAAGGACGTACACTCCGTTAGAAAAAATAGGGAGAATTTCGGACAGCAAGAGGGTAAAACTCTTAAAAGCACTAGCAATGACTAATAACGCTAAAATCAATCTCTGTTTGACAATTTTTTCCTAAACAGTGTTGGTTATCCTTTTCTCTTGGTTTAAATTGTGTAAATAAAACTTTACCATTACGTTACGTTAACCGTTACGTGCATGCAAGTGATCTATGAACTTTTCTCAAAATATCAAGTGATAATAATTTATATCCTGCATGCTTTCTTAAAATTTTATATAATACGTGCATACCTCTTTAAGCCTTACCTTTTGAGATAAAACTATGCCTTCAAAGGAATTGCTGGTTCTCCAGTGTTACCTGATTAATAAGCTTCAAGAACGTTGTGATGAGCGGGTCGTAGCTACTCTCCCTTATCACAGGTCTTCAACATATTAAATGAACTGAGTTCTTTCTGAGGTTGCACAGATTCTCATAGTAACGTATCTAGCGGGTCTTTAATTATCGGTTAAAATATGACCATTTCAATATGACAGATGGGAACAAAACTGTAACAGCCTCTACAGGAAAAGACCAATCTTAATGAAAAAAAAAAATTACTTTGCAATCTTCTCGTAGCTACAGGCATTTTATATTTGATTTGATGGACACATTTATGGTAAAAAGTCTGCTTTTTCTCGTTTATTTGACCGTTTCCATTAAGGGAATAAAGTTACGAGGCTTGGTTAGGTAAAGTTTTGTTCGTATGAAATCTCCGTACGTGCAGCTTTAGACTAAGTTGTTCTGTATTCATCACTAAACACTTACATTGGGCCAGCGGGGTTTTATTCTTGGACCTATTAATCAAATTAAACGCGTTTTCTGAGAATTATGTTGTCACAGCAATAAATCTTGCGGGTGGAATTAGGCCGAAAACACTTCAAAGGTGCGACAAGCAAAAAATAAACCATGTGCAATATTGTTATAGCTTTAAATTTTGCCCTTCCCGTAGTTTTAAGCTACTGTTATTTGGTATTTCACATCTTTCGAATTTAATTTGAGAAATGACTGCATGTGAGATGCAAGATCTGAATTGGACAGTTACTAATTTATGACTTTGCCGAATCTGGGACTGAAACAGTGAAAGATTCGACTCTGGTTCGACATTTGATTCAGGCAACGTCGCATTTCACATGTGGCATATATTATGCATTAATTATAGAAACTATTTTTCACATTGGATAACAAGTTGTTTAGCGACTGGGAATATTTACAACTAACGTAATTAAATTCGGGACCATTATATCCGACGTTTGAATCAGCTGCTTTAATTATTATTTTAGTGGACTAAAATAGGAGTTAAATTCCGCAAGTGTGAATTTGGGCGTTTGAGCCGGGCCTTATCTATAAAGCACTCAAAGGAAAAGCACCGTCCTATTTCTCTAGGCTGCTGAGTCACCGAAAGTTCTCTCGGTCATTACGTTCCGGGGCAAAGAACCGTTCACTGTGCCACTGGCTAAACTTAAGATTTATGGAGACCAGGCGTTCAGCTCGTCTGCACTAAGGCTATGGAATAATTTGCCTCTCGGTATTCGCAATTCTCCACCAATAGCTAACTGAAAAAAGAAAATTGAAAGCTTGTCTTATTATAGGAGTCTTTGACTTTTATCTTTATTTCTAGTACAAGTATTTACATTTTTATTCTCTGTACGTTTATCTCTGTAGCTCTCTGTATTATTAAATTTTAAACTTTTGACTTTTATTTCCTGTCCAAAGCTCTGTTTTTAATTTATCTACAGTAGGTGTTTTTCGATTTTAGTTTTACAAAAGCAAAATGATTGTAAAACGCTGTGAAAGATTAACTTGAATGAATGAATGATTTATGTAATGTCGAAGACGTGGGAAGTGTTTGCACAATCTTCCGAGCCAGAGGCTCATGTTATTAAAAACGCTCGACAAACTAAAAATACCAAACAAGATAAAATGTGAATTATGTATATACAAATATTAAGAACAACCTAAAAACATCATAATTAAGTTTTAAACACGTACAAATGTTGTGTTATTGTGTCGTTTATTTTCTTTATAAAATATCAATTTTTTTCGGTTCTAAAAGCACTATATGAAATATTCTCCTTCTTCTTAGTCTTTTTTGTATTATTATTATCATTATTTTCATCATTATTGATTTAGAAATTCTCTGAACGCAATACAAGCTACAACCTGAGGGACTCACAAATTTACATTGACGCAATAGTTAGAGAACTTTTTGTAAAACGCTGATGAATTGCCCGTGTTTAAACAAAGTCTTATTAGTTCAGTGTGAATTATAAAACTACGATGTAGTGAGTTAATGTTTGAAACAACCACAAAACAAGTTTGGTGTTGTACTTTAGTTTGAGGTTTCCGATACCACGACGGCGACGACAATGACGAGGTCTTCAGAAACTCAATCGGTCGATCGAATATAAGCAAAACGACAAATCTGTTCTTGCAATACTATTTTCTTGGACATCTCACTGCCTTCATTGCTCGACTACGTCGTGAAATTTCATAGTTTCACCTATATAAAGGGCATAAAGAAGAGACGACGAACTTCTCTTTCCCTTTCTGAACTTAGATATGGTTGTTAGTTATTCGGGTCCAGAAGAGTTCGCTTGCATTTGACAAAGCAAGTGAGTTGGAATAATCGCGATTGAGATTTACAGAACGCTTATTCGCCGACGTTCAGTCGTGGCCTTTGCCGTCGTGGAAACTCCCTAATTAATCAGCGAATGATTAGGGAGCTTAAGTAACTACGACGGCTTCGGCGGTGGAAACGTCACTTTAAATTGCGTGCTGTCGATTCATTTAATCCCTCCATTATCTTGTTGTAAATCGGCCAAAAACGCGGGAACGAGAAAAAGAAAGATCAGAGTTGATACACCAAAGATATCATTTAAGTTCGAACTGCAGAGACCGGTATAGAAGGCACAAGTTTAATAACTAGACCCAAATATAATAAAGGTCCCATCTGTAATAACATTTGAACCCAAGTGTAATAAAGGTCTCATCCAGCCTCCTCCTCAGGAGCTTCGTTTTTCGCATGGTTTCGTAAAGAGGCGAGCGCAAAACGTGAGTGACTGGTGACGCGCAAGGGACCATGGGAAAGGTAAAAAAAGGGAGGTTTAGCCACGTCTTGCCCGTTTTCTCCTTCCCGCCTTCCTTTGCGTGCAAATTTTCATCGAGAGAGAGAGAGAGAGAGAGAGAGAGAGAGAGAGAGAGAGAGAGAGAGAGAGAGAGAGAGAGAGAAAGATTGAAGGGCACTTTTGCAACATCAAATAGGGCACTTTTGCAACATTAGGGCACTTTTGCAACATTGCATAAGGCACTTATGCAACATAGGGCATTTTTGCAACATGACATAGGGCACTTTCGTCACAGTAGGGCATTTTTGCAACGTGACATAGGGCACTTTCGTCACAGTAGGGCATTTTTGCAACGGGCACTTTTGCAACGTAAACAACAGGTGCTGATATATATGTTATATATGTTATACCTTGTACTAATAGTATATTTTCATTCCCTTGATTCCAGCATACATCTTTAAAAAATAATTTTTAACTTATAAAAAGCGACTAAGAAAAACCTAGTGAAGTCCTCGAGCCGTTTCGGTATACCGTTGGTCTTATTTGTCCTTCGGAAAGTCTTACTTTCTTTCTTACAGGGGATGGCGACATAGAGTTTGCTTGGCTATAAGCCAGTAAGAACAAAAAGGGGGGCCTTAAACATGTTCAATGACAGTCAGTTTTCATTATTTAAGGGTGCTGTAGACTTTCAATCGCCGATTCTTGCAAATGTTTGCAGCTAATTAATTACCGTAAATCATCTATTAACTCCCCGGTAGGCATACTTATTCCAAGCACTTTTGAGGTGGGGAGGGGGGGGGGGCGCTTATTTGAGAGGGGGGATATTCAATTTAGCGAAACGCATTACCGCCGGCGAAGTTCCTCGAGGGCCGATATATGGTTCCAGGGCGCCATACTGCTTTTTCAAATAACCAGAATTTGGTATCAATTCTCCAGAAAGAACTAGAACGCAAAGTGGAAAAGCTCGAACATATGAAGTTGGAGGTTATGCCGCCGAAGATCAAAGGCAAATCCCAATTTCCAGAACGCGAATAGACCATATCGGATCAGCCGACATAAAGTGTTGACAGTCGTGGAGGGGGGCTTATTTGTAAGGGGGTCTTAAAAGAGGATTTACGGTATCTGCAGTTTGAAGTACAAAGCAGTACAAACCAATCACTGACGGTAATCGTATCTCGGACTCGCATTTTTTTGTAACGGAATCTTCGGTTGACGTAACAGTCGTTTCGGACACTTCTTGGACTTCTTTTTTCGGTGCGGAAAGGTTCAAAAATCTGCGCTGGGTGTTATATATTTTTCAAAGGCATTATCTAAAGGACCCATATTGTTTTACAAAGTAACGAACTCAACAGGAGCCACCAAACTTAAATCGGCCAGACACGGGTCATGCTCATAACAAAGGAGTTTGACTTTGTTTCAAAAACGAAACTTTCTTTAAATTTTAAAGTGTCCCCCGTGGCTCTGGTTCAGTTGGTAGCACTGTATTATGTTTTGAAGGGAAGGTCAGGTGATGCCTTCATAATTAATGCAAACTAATAAGTAAACAGCAAATAACAGGACACGTGCTTACTGGTATTTAATCACAGGTACAGGTATTCTAAAATATAAACTGCAATGTTCGTGCTAACCTCAGAACGAGAACGGTTTGGAATGCTTATTGACGAAATTCCTGTTTCATTGATTTGTTTCTATATGTTCTATAGTTGAAAATAGTCCATTAAACATGCATAATCAAAATGAGGTTTAAACAGAATTCGACAATTTACGCTTATTCTAAATCTCCTACATTCTACTCGCCATTGATGCTAAAACTGTCAGACAGCAAACATTAAAAATTAATAAATAAATAAAAATAAACTCAGAGCGACTTTTACCTTGATTATGTTTTAAAATCAATCACTGCAAATCGTTAACTTCAAATTGGCAAACAAAGTTCTTTCGCTAATCTTAAAAAGTTCCTGCCTACACTGCACTTTTATATTTGGAAGTTAAAAATACAACTACGGCCACGGCAGTGAAAACGTCCTTTCTAAATGAAATCTGTGTTCTTTTAAAAGTTCCTCACCATTACTTCAACACACTCAATTTATCACAAGTAGGTGAATTCACATGGGTTAAATTTAGGACCGCGATTTCCGTTCCGAAGGAGACACAAGACTTTCGTGTGTTTTCCTCTTTCAGAAATTTTGGCATAAGGAAGTTTCACATCCTTGTTCAGAGTAGTGAAGGTCGAGAAATGTTTCAAAAAATGTGACGCAAGTCCAAAACCCGTTTTTCTTACCAAACCTATTCAGCGATTGAATAATGT